CGACTTCTCGGCACGACATGGTCTCAAGCATGCCAAGTGCTTCGAGCTTCGTCGAGATTGGGTACGATGCGCGCCGCATATTTTGATGTGCACGTATTTTTTTGAAAGGCAACTTTTTCGCGCTGGCGGGAACAATAAAAATTCCACCAATGAGAGTGTAGTATTTCAAATCTTTACTTTCATTGGAAGATATAATTTCTGATCCACAAAAATCTTCGGTGGGCGTTGCATTCCGTCCGTCCCAGTATTGCATGAGCCGGTTGCCCAGCCCTTCAACAAAATAATATATTTTGTTTGACAAACGAGAAAGTATCCTCCATATCTTCTCAATATTCAGAACTCAAAAATGGATCATTATTGTTTTTGTTTGCAATTTTAATACTCGTATTGTTTTTACTGTCGACAATAATCGATACACTGTCATATTATTGTGCCCATGAAGGTTGACAAGTTTACTTTTTGATGTACGGTCAAGAATGCCTGGTCTCTACAGAGATAATTCTGCTATGTAGGCAGAACTGTCTCTCCAGTTCTTCTCTGTAGGCAACAGCATCATAAAATTCGTTTTAACATTTGACGCACATGTTGCAATAGACGATGAAGGGTCGCTCAACTTGTTACTTCGGGTAAATACATTCTTTGTAAAACGAGATATACATGGACTCGTCGGATCTTATGTCCCCCTTTTGTTGTGAACGGATCCACCTGGAGTCACTACATGCGTCCTCTGGGATAGTGTCGACATGATCTCAAGTGCCCATCTTGGACTCTCAAGCGCCAACTCATGGACGATTCATGGAGTTATCTGACGCAAGATGTGATGCACGTGCTCCGTACGACTAGGAGTGTGCCCGCGCCATTACCGTTTATCGTAGTGTCGCCTGCGCCAAGAAGACAGCGAGTGGCTCGTGGGCAGAAAAGACATGAAAACCTTGATCTTGCCATGATTAGCAAGCAACCCATCAAGGCGAACGAAATCGACCGCATACACTTGGTTGGGAACACCAGCGGGTAACGGCAACAATAAACAGATCTCACAAACGCTCGTTCTGTTCTATCTGTATCCTATCCTGTCATCATATTCGATTAGTCTGGAACCAACCTGTAACAACTTGTTGCAGCTGATGCTATGATCGCATGATTTTACAACCAGTACTTTCCTGAACCTTTCTGTGCTTCGTGCTCACAGAAAGGTTCAGGAAAGTTCGAAATACCTGTCAAGAGCGGCACAAGACGCCACAGGCAAGATAGTGCTGCTTGACGAGTTGCTCCAGGTGTACACCGACCTTGCTGACCAACAGCGAGCTGAACGAGCTGCAGCAACGGCAGCAGCAATTGAGAAAGAAGAAAAGATATCGCCCATCCGCAACCAAGCATGCGTCGAGGCTGCCGCACGTCCGTGGATCCTGACGATACAACTGACAGCGATGTGGTGAGTCGGAAGCGCAAAGCGATATATGAAACCCAAGATCGCGAAATCGAGTTGGAGCACGAGCGGCTGAAGTTTACAAAAGCACAAATTTGAAATGGAGCTTAAAGAGCGTGAAAACGATCGGGCGAAACAAATGCAGCAACGAGAGGACGAACGCAAAAGAATGGAGGATATGATGGCACTCATTCGTCGGTTAATCGAGATGAATTTGCATTGGGCAAATATATGTTTTACTTCAAGTTGTTCAATATTCGTTGCACACCAAATATAAGAACACCGTGCGATCAGTAGTGGTCGAAAATTTGTCAAATAACTAAATAATCCTCAAGCTGTGGCGGTGCCAAGTTGAAATAATCACTAATTTGATTGCCACCATAGGTCAGTGAGCGACGGAAAAATGTCCCTAGTGGTACTAGAGAAATATCTTGAAATTTGTATGCGGAATAAAATTACCCTAGAAGAGAATTGACAGTATTTTTATTCCAGTTGATTTTGAATTGAAGTGCAATATCCACGATGATTGTTAGAAAATACTACTCTGTTCCACAAAACTTGTCACGTTCCACCTTTGATTGGCAGCATTTTTTAATAGTACCCCGTTTTGAGTGTCTGATTGGTGCTTGGGAAAGCGCAAGATCTCTGCTATGATTGGGTAGTTTGAGGTACTTTCCAGCCATTTTCGTTGTTGAGATATCACGCGGCAAACCTGGTGGGCATTCAACTCTGTCAGAAAAATCTACGCCAGCACTTCATTATACATTTAATCGACTCCAAACACTACCTGCTCCCGCCTACTACCACTACAAGCCCCCTCCATCACAACTGGGATCCGTCGACGCACCAAGCAGTGCCGGGAGTCTTTGGACGTCAGCAAGCACTTGAGCTTTCCTCAACGTCGTACTGTGTACGAAATGCTTTTAAACGTAGCGGTGCGATGTATACTGCCACGAGGGGCTCTGACAAGCTTGCACAGGAGTTTCACTGCCATTCGCGGACGATATCACGACTGTGGAGACAATCGAACCTCTCGCGTCATGATGGTGACCATGCCACCGATATCGCCACAAAATACAAGGGAAAATCTTTCAAAAAAATTTTCTATTGATTTATGCTGCTATAAATTTATGGGGTGTACTTTTGTAGGAAACGGTTTCAAATGAAATGCTTCGTGCAAAAGGAGTCAGCGGAATAGCAGTTGCGAACCAGCCGCCGAACAGCCCCGATTTCAAAAGTTAGACTTAGGGCTCATTAATTCTATTCAAAGCCTGCAGTACCACAAGTGCACTCGAACCATTGAGGAGCTTATTGTTGCTGTAGAAAACGCGTTCTATGAGTTGCCGACTGACACGCTTGCAAAGACTTTCGTAACTCTTCAAAGAATTGCCCATTGAAATACATGGTAGCAATGATTATAAACTTCCTCACATAAAGCAGAATGCTCTCATCACAGACTTTGCTATGTCGAGTTTGACGCCTCGTCTTACGAGAGCCCTTTGGATCACTTGAATAGCCTACTGAGTGAGGAGATTCACCTCGATGCCTTGGTCAATTCTCTTGAATGAGGCACTAAAAATATACGATAAAGTTTTTGCAGCCATAATGTTGTTTTGGAGTTGAATACAAAAATCATGACGTTTCAATGGCGCTGTGCATACTTTAATCAAGTGAAAAAGTACCTGACAATTTTTGTGGAACGGAGTTGTAGATCATTTAATGCTCAGCTACGACCATGACGAACTAATCCTGCAATATTTCTGATATCCAAAAATATTTCGAAAATGAAATATATTTTCAAGTGACACGCTACACACCAAGAGTCCGTGGCAACGCATTTGCAAACGAGCGAGTGATGGTTTCACATGGCATGTCCTCCTAGCCTTCAATAGTGCGCTTAACCATAGCCATGCGTTTTTCAGCTGCAGACACCACCGGCTTTTCGTGAAGTCACATGTAATGAAGCTTGCTCTTCAATGGCCCCATTACACCTTATCCAAACGTTGGAGAGCACTTGTCGAATTCTTGGGCAATGGTTCCAAACCTCTCATCAATTCAGACGACACCATATCATGCGACGCCACCAACACATGACAGTCAAGATTGTCAGCCAAAATCACAGAAGCCCATCGATTTCGAACTTGAGCAGCTCAGTCAGATACAGTTCCCAGACTATTGTATCCATCTACGCTTTCTCTTGCACGACGTAAACATGACCAGGTGGAAATGTCGGCACTTCCAATTTTCGATCGGCCCACCTGGCTTGCCCTTGAGGATGAAAAGAATTGGTAGCTTTCCACCATTGGAACGCACGAAGAGTACGACTGAAATCCTGTCGGAGCGCTTTTGCCTCTTGTCAACCTTGGACGAACCTCCAGCATTGGCAAGAGTCTTTGTCGGGGGCATGTCGAAGTAAACAGATGTTTCATCCACGATGATAATGTCACATGGCGCTGTGTCACGAATGTTGTCCCATAATGCAGCATCAAATTTCGCCTTGGTCTCGGCAAGAACCGCTTGAGGGACTATTGTGCAGCTCGGTACTTGCTGCGAAAACCGGAAGCGGGCTGAGAATCGTTGACACAGTCGAAGCAGACTGTGGTAAGCTCGACTTTCGTATTTCTTCGTAAATATGTACTTCCTCTGTTTCACATTACTGGTGGCATTTCAAAATCGACTTTTTCCACATTACTGGTGGCATTTATTGTGATTGGCCAAAGGAGAAATACTTGCATGTTATTGGTTACAAAAGGATACGGTCGGAATTGCAACGAGCTAGGCCAACAGCGCCACAGGACAGGACACATTTTCCATCAAGGCACCCGCGCGTCTCAAAGCGTCCTTACCCAAGTGCGGAAGGCGAAACTGGTTGTCCCCGCTGTGCTGGATAACCAGGCGCATGACAGCTTGAAAGGTGAGAAACACATTTTCCAACTTCTCCACGCCGAGGCACTCGAAAGCAGACAGCGTTGCCTCAATGATGTCATCAACTGTACGGCTCACCGACTTGTATTGTAGGGACTGGATGGAAGCGAAGAAGCCCAGATCTAGCACGTTCAGATCTGGGCTGTTCGGTGGCTGGGACCGGACGACAAACGTCCACCCGTCGGTGGACACAGTCGCAAGCAGCTCGTCCGTGATGGCAGCGTGCGGGGTAGCGTTATCGTGCTGAAGAACGACATGCTTGTTGCGGCTGGGAAACTTGGCCTTGATGGCAGGTATGACAC